TAATTATTCTAAATGTTTCTGATTGTTAATTTAATGGTAACAAATCAATTTTAATTTAATCCTGCTCCTCTTAAAAAAGTCATCAGAGGTTGCAATGTGACCTCACAGATAGCATATCTTAAATTATGATGACTTAATGAAATAGCAGAATGTAAAATTATTGCTGATTAGAAACTGTCTTTATGATAGCAGAGTACATAACAGTCCAGAAAATTCACTTGCATGTTGCAGGCAAATCAATCTTAATATGTATTTTATCTCAACATTCTCGGGATTGAAAACAAGAAAACAGATATGGTTACCAACAGAACACCACCAAGGAAAGGTGAGAGATCTCACTGCCTGCGTTAAACACTGAGACACAGCGTATGACCTGAGGCAGACGCTTGTTCACAATTACCATTTGCCATTTTATTGTTGTGGCTGGTGATTTTATAAAACACATCGGTGCTTTAATTAATGTGTTCAGATACCAGGTGCCTGACACGGTTACAACACAAGGCACTTCTTTTAGAGATCTAAAGGAAATGATAGAACATACTTCCAGCTCAGTGGATTAAAGCTAATTGTAATCTATGGCATATAGATTCACCTCTGAGTCTGTAGACATTAGTAAGCATTCATGCTGTGTATTCATGGTGTGTATTTTCAGCCATCAGATTTATTTCTGGGTGGATGGCTCCTAGGACCTACTGCCCTTAATATGATCATCATCATCCGGTTAGAAATTATACTCCATGGTAAATGGACAGTATAAAAGGATTCAGTAAAGTCTGATTCTCGGCACTAACTTTGATGTTGGTGTCACTGTTATGTTGCCTCCACTCGCACACTTCAGATTCCAGGGTTCGACAGAACCACAGTACATTCATTTCTCTGCTCCTAGGGCCACCAAACAACTGATGTTCTGAGGTAGAGCTCCCTTGCAAACATTAACTTTTTGAGATCAACACACAAAGTGAAAAGTTTAGCTGCTCTGTGACATCAAGCTAGCCCATGAAACGAACCCTGGTTTGGGATTCCTGGCACTCAATCGCTGTCACCACACAGGATCAGGCCCCAGTACTAAGACTTTAGAGAGGAAAAGCTGAGAAAAAGGGTGGTTGCAGAGTTCTCTATTGCTTTTACTTTGTTTCTTTGTTCATTTATTTTTGAGACAGAGTCTCACTCTGTTGCCCTGGGTAGAGTGCTATGGCATCATCATAGCTCACAGCAACTGCAAACTCTTGGGCTAAGGTGAACCTCTTGCCTGAGCCTCCTGAGTAGCTGGGACCACAGATGGTTAGTTTTTCTATTTTTAGTAGAGATGGGGTTTTGCTCTTGCTCAGGCTGGTCTCGAACTCCGGAGCTCAAGCAATTCACCTGCCTGGGCCTCCCAGAATGCTATGATTACAGGTGTGAGCCACCTTGCTTGGCCTTTATTGCTTTTACTTAAAAGAAGTCCTGCGATTTTCTAATTCCACCAAATGCAGCTTTGCCTAGGACTAATCACCATTTTATTATCAGTGGCAGTCTGGTCTGCACTGAGGACAGCATTCTTTCCTGTACTGTCCATCTTTGTTACTACTCCCCATAGTTGACTCCCTGAAGTATTGTCTGTCACCGCCTTTCCTGTCCAGCCACATGTCAGACCATCCCCAGGGTGGTGCATAAAGACAGTTTCATATGCCACCTGGGAGATGGGGTGTTTATATGTTGGACAAAGATCACTGACACATAAGAGACACCCGCGTTAGAACAGGTGTTTGTTTTTGCTTTCTTCTCTCAGCAGCCAGCACA